ATTCAATTAAGAATAAAGAAGTACAGCCCTAGCTGGTTTGGCTCAGCAGTTAGAGCATCAGCCTGCAGACGGGGGAGTCACAGGTTTGATTCCCGCTAAGGGCACGTACCTTTGTTGCAGTTCGTCCCCGACCCCGGTTGGGGTTCTGCGCGTGGCAACCAGTCGATGTGTCTCTCTCACATTGATGTTTCTCTCTCTCTCTTCCTCCCTCTCTCCCGCCCCCTCTGTCTGAAAACAATGCAAATATATATATATATATATATATATATATATATATATATATATATATATATATATATATATATTTATCTCCTCGGGTGAGGATAAAAAAAATAAATAAAGAAGTACAACCTTGGAAGATTAATTCTATTTGATTTCAAGATTTACAATAAACAAAAGTAAATAAGACAGTATGGTGCTCGTTTAAAGATAGACAAATAAATCAAAGGAACAGAACAGAAAGCCTAGTATTAGACCCAAACATAATGAACTTACTTTTTAGAAAGGTGCAAAAGAAATTCAACGAAGAAAGGATAGTCTCTACAATAACTGGTACAGAAACAACTGGATATCCTAATGCAAAACAAACAAAAATATAGCAGGCTTAAAAAAACCCAAATGTTGCCCTGGCAGGTTTGGCTCAGTGGTTAGAGCGTCGGCCCACGGACCAATGAGTCACGGGTTTGATTCTAGTCAAGAGCACGTACCTCAGTTGCGGTTCGACACATCCCTGGTCGGGTTGTGCGGGAGGCAACCAGTCGATGTAGCTCTTATCACATCGATGTTTCTCTCTGTCTGCCTCTATGTGTGTTTCTCTCTCTCTCTCTCTCCCTCCCTCTTTCCCACTCTATCTAGAGATAAATAGAAAAATATCCTCAGGTGAGGATTAAAAAGAAAAAGAAAAAAAAAAAAAAACACAACCCAAATATCTATGACTATGGAAAAATTAAATAAATTATGGTATACTGATAAAATGGAAATCAATGCATCTGTAAGAAAAGAAAAAAAATACCACTACTGCAGCCAGAGGACTCAAGATATATTGTTAAGTAACAACAACAAAAAGAAAAGAAAAGAAGAGTGTGTTAAGAATCATCTCTTGGGTAAAGGGTGGTAAGAATATAAATAAATGTATTTGCATATGCATATCTAAAGAAATTCTGATGGATACACTAAATGCTAACAGCAATGGTTATCTCCTAAGAAAATGATAACGTGGATAGGAAACTTTCAGAAAAACTACTTGCTGTGTCACTTTGAAATCTTATTAACCTTATTTAATCTATTCAAATAATTCCTTATTTTTTTATTTTTAACATAACAGTATATTTTACTTTTTGTTGTTGTTATTAAATTTATTGGAGTGACACTGGTTCACAAAACCATGCAGGTTTCACGCGTACAACTCAACAAAACATCATCTGCATACTGCATTGTGAGCCCATCACCTCAACCAGTCTCTTTCTGCCCCCATTTTCCCCCTTTGCCCACCTCCACTTACCTCCCCCAACCCCCTTTCCCTCTGGCTATCACCACACGTTTTTGGTTAATCCCTTCACCTTCTTTCTTCCAGTCCCCCAACTCCTCTTCCCACGGTAGTTGTCAGTCTGTTACATGTATCCATGCCTCTGTTTCTATTTTGTTCATCAGTTTAATTTGTTCATTAGATTCCACATATAAGTGTTGAAAGAATGTATGTGCTCCTATGTCCACTGCAGCATTATTTACAATAGCCAAGAGCTGGAAACAGTCCAAGTGCTCATCAGTAGATGAGTAGATAAAAAGCTGTGGTAAATTTACACAATGGAATACTACTACTTGGCTGTAAAAAACAAAAAGGAAAAAAATTACACAAATAATTCTTTTTAAATTGGCCTTCAAACTAGAAATTCAAATAAAACCGTAATTTGAGAACTTGCTACTTATTATTACTATTTGGATGCCATATTGTTACTATGTATATTCAGTTAAACACCAAACAACTCATTATTTCTGCACTGTGTTTGATGGATCAAATTATACAAAAGGAAAAGACTAATAAAGCTATTCTAATAAAATCCTAAAATTAAAGTTATCTTCAAAATTTTATACATATACAGAAATAAAATTCTATTTTCCATGAAAAAGTATATATTTTTCTATAATTATAAATTGTTTAAACCACATAAAAATTGGCCTCCCTCATAAAAATGATATATACTTCCCTGACAAATGTTTTATCATTCATAATATCACTATTTACCATTCCCATTAACAAAGACACTAACAGTAAGAATCTCTAGAGCAATAATTAGTCAACCATAGCTACATCCTGTATCTGGTGTTACTAGTCTTTCCCTTTAGACCAACTCTGCTGCAAAATGTGCTTTCCTGCCCTGGCCAGTTTGGCTCAGCGGTTAGAGCGTCGGCCTGCGGTACAGAGAGACCCGGGTTCGGTTCCTGCTAAGGGCACGTACCTCGGTTGCAGTTTGTCCCCGGCCCTGGTTGGTCGTGCGGGTGGCAACCACTCAATGTGTCCCTTCACGTCGATGTTTCTCTCTCTCTCTCTCTTCCTCTCTCTTCCTCTCTCTCCCTCCCGCTCTGTCTGAACAAAAAATGCAAAAATGTCCTCGGGTGAGGATAAAAAAAAAAAAAAAAAAAATGTGCTTTCCTTCTGTATTCTACACCCAAAAACAATTTCAAGAGAAACTGAGAATGCCCTGGCCAGCGTGCATCAGTGGTTAGAGCATCGGCCCTCACACCAAAGGGTCTCAGGTTCCATTCCCAGTCAAGAGTACATACCTGGGTTGCAGGTTTGATTTCTGGCGAATGTGAGAGGCAACCAACCAATGGGTCTCTCTCACATCAAAGTTTCTCTCTCTCTCTCTCTCCCTTTCTCTTCCCCTTTCTTCCTCCGTACCACTCTCTCTATAAACCAAAGGAAAAAAATATCCTCACATGAGGATTAACAAAAAAGAGAGAGAAAGAAACTGAGAACAAAAAAATAACAGTAAGAACTGAAAAGAAGGAAAGAGGAGAGCAATAATTAAAATTATAAATATTAGAACTTTTTAAAAAGTCCTATGGTTTTACAAAGGGGTTATAGCTAAGTATAAAGAAAAAAAGTAAGAGCATTGTTTTTCTAGTGGAAAACTACATTGCAAGTTGTTCAATATAATTGCTTCAGATCCCTAAAGAATAATTCTCATAGTTATCCACTGCCAAATATTTCTAAGAAACACTGATTTTGACTAATGAAACTATACTAAGACACATTTTCTTAAATGCTGAACTTTGAGTGATGACAGCACAATACACCATTGAGATGATGCTATTTTTGTGTTAAAAAACAGCTTAGTTTTTTAAAAAACGAATAAAAACTGAAACAATTTGGCTTTTGCCCAAATCTACACTCTATTTATAATTTAGGAATACATAGCTCCAATTAACAGATTTCCACCAAGGGTGTGGCCCACATTAAGTGTCAATGTTATCCTTACCCTCCCATTTGGGCAGGGCACAGAAGTACACAGGCTCTTGTAAGCACCCCTATAATATGCCTGCTGCCAAAACAGGCACAAAAAGCAAGCAGTCAACTGTGGGAAGATCGCAGCAGAAGACAACCAATAGTCCCAAGCCAAGCATGTGTTTTGCAAAATATTAATGAAAAAAGAATAACTTCATATTTGTTTTTTCTTCTCAATATATTTATATACTTATATTGGGAAGAAAGGGGCTCAGTAATGCTGGAATTACTGCTAATATTATATCCAAGCACAAATACCAAATTTGTCCACAAATTGAGTGAACAAATTGAGTGAAGCAGGTAAAATACAATAAAAACTTATATCATCTAACTTATGAGGTTATATTAGGAGATTAAATATATAATTGCATATGTTGCTATACTTCCTATATTATTCTATCATAACCACTCCTCCTCCCAAAAATAATTTAATGGTGCATCTTTACTGTCAAATACTATGCAGTAGCTAAAAAATAATGTGACAAATCTCTATACATTGACATGGAAATATTTCTAAGCCACACTGTTAAGTGGAAAAACAACAGTCCCCGAATATTTAATATGATGCATTTTAACTATAAAAACGACAAAAAGAAATAAAAGAAAATGTTCTGTGCGTGTGTGTGTGTGTGTGTATCGATTTTTCTTTTTCTTTATTGATGTTAGAGAGAGAGAGAAAAAGGGAGAGGAAAGGAGAGGGAGAGATTGAAACATTGATAAGAGAGAACATCAATTGGCTGCCTCCTGCATGCCCTTTACTGAGGATCAGGCCCACAACCTGGGATGTGCCCTGACGGGGAACGAAACCAGTGACATCTAGGTGCATGAGTCGATGCACACCCACTGAGCCACACCGGTCAGGCTGCATCGATTACTTTAAGTAAGATTATGTACTAAACACTGTTGACCTTCAGAAGTCCTAACAAGTTATTTTCACTCTTATATAACTCTATACTGCTTACAGCTTTTTAAAAAACATAATATGGCACTGGCCAGTTTGGCTCAGCAGTTAGAGCATCAGCCTGAGGTCCAGAGATACTCGGGTTTGGTTTCCGCTAAGGGCATGTACCTCGATTGCAGTTTGTCCCCGGCCCTAGTTGGGTAGTGCGGGTGGCAACCACTCGATGTGTCCCTTTCACGTCAATGTTTCTCTCGCTCTCTCTCTTCCTCTCTCTCCCTCCCACTCTATCTTTAACAAAAAACAAAAAAATGTCCTCGGGTGAGGGTAAAAAACAAACAAAAAACAATATGAACCATAACAACCATGAATCAAAAACTATTATAAGAAACAAGGAAGCAACCTAATTTAAGTTTCCATCACTGAGAAGCTTACTAAAGAGATGACCTGGTAACTGTAAATATTTATCCAAAATAGTACTCTATTCAATTCAAGAAATTTCAGAAAAAATCAAGACAATTCGGCAGGAAAAGTCATTCATATTCCTCTCACAATCTGAATTTGGATACATTATAAGTATTATTTAGAAAATATTACCTTTCTTGAAGTATAAATGTCAAAAAATGGCTTATTTCTGACACTAAATGGTTCCTGGGTTTTGTCAATGAGCCCAGCCTTCATTTTTTCATGTCGAGGATTTATTATTTCTCGTTCTATACACTGAAGACGAACATTAAAATCACAATCTCCAACCGGCTGTGCCTGAATTAAATGAGACAAGTATTTAAATTTCAACTCTAAAAACTATTTTTTCAGCATAATTATCAAAGCTTTCACTACTTTCTATGTAGCAGCCTGTGTAAACAGCATCCTTCGGAATTGTCCAATACAAAGCCTGCACAACCACACATGACAGCCCTGAAAATTAATTTGACTAATGATGGAAACATACCTAAACACACACACACAAACATATACACACACAGTTATTTATTTCAAAATTATAAATGCATAAAATAGTAAGGAAAAGTGGTATAAATCTACTCTAATATAAACTGATCCAAAATTCTCATATCTGAATTAAAGTATTAATATACTCACTAATCGTTTTTGTTATTTATATGAATTAGTACAATTATATGAATTCACAGTCTGTATAAAAACTAAAATCCACATAATTTCAAAAAGCACAAGCAAATAACATATCAAAATAAACAATATCATCACCTACACTGTTTTTTGATGTTTAAAGTGCTAATATTTTACATAAATCAATAAGCAGAAGATATTTATTAGACAAATACATCCTCAACTCTGAAAACTAATACAGAAAAGTTTATATAATATATTCATCATGCATTTATAAAATTCTCTTCTGGCCAGTGTGCGTCAGTGGTATAATATATAGCACATATGGTTTAAAACATGCCCTGGCCGGTTTGCTCAGCGGTTAGAGCGTCGGCCAGCGGTCCGGAGAGACCCGGGTTCGGTTCCCGCTAAGGGCACATACCTCGGTTGCAGTTTGTCCCCGGCCCTGGTTGGGTCATGTGGGTGGCAACCACTCGACGTGTCCCTTTCACGTCGATGTTTCTCTCTCTCTCTCTCCCTCCCACACTCTATCTGAACAAAAAATAGAAAAAATGTCCTCAGGTGAGGAAAAAAAAATGAAATAAAAAGTACATGTAAGCTTCTGTATGAGTCGAGGGTAGGGGCTTGCCCTAGTCTAATGATATATACAAAGATAGCTTAATACATCAACTGAGTAACAATAATCATCCAGATTAATAGCATCACCTCAATGTTATATCAATTATCCCCCTTCCTCAGTTGCAACTGGGCACCCTTTTATGCATTTTTCCCTTGTCTTCTTCCTCTTCTCTAATATATATTACTCAACCTAACATTCGCCCAAGCGAATGTTTATAAAGGGGTGGCAGCACTTGTTTAAGCTGTGAACATTAAATATGTCTCAAGGATTTTTTTTCAACTTTGCAAGGATGACAATTTTGATACTTAATAAAGCAAAAGGAACAAGACAAAGTGACCAAGAACTAGCAATGAGGTACAATATGTTCCCTTTACATATAACTGTTTACAAAGGGCATTAACTGAAGAAATGCTAATAAACAATCACACAGACCACATGTAACATTTTCCATGTCACCTACATTATCAAAGGTTAAAAAACCTAAAATGCTAGGTTTATTAGGCCTATTAGATGAATTTAGATCCCTATAAAATTAAAGTGGAAGAAGGAAACCCTCTTTTATTTTTTTATCCTCACTCAATGACATTTTTTTGCATTTATCTTCAGATAGAGCAGGAGGGAGGGAGTGAAGAAGAGAGAGAGAAACATCAATGTGAGAGACACATCAAGTGGTTGCCACCCACATGACCCCAACCAGGCCGGAGACAAACTGCAACCAAGACAGGTGCCCTTAACAGGAATCGAACCTGGGTCTCTCTGGTCCATGGGCCAAAGTTCTAACCGCTGAGCCAAACCCGCCAGGGCGGAAACCCTCTTTTTTTAAGAAAGAAAATAAAAAGCCTAACAATTGGTAAAAAATATATTACTCCAAATTCTCTCCTACATACATTTTACTTTAAAATACACATAAATTCGCCCTGGCCGGTTTGGCTCAGCGGTTAGAGCGTTGGCCTGTGGTCCGGAGAGACCTGGGTTCGGTTCCCGCTAAGGGCACGTACCTTGGTTGCAGTTTGTCCCCAGCCCTGGTTGGGTCGTGTGGGTGGCAACCACTCGATGTGTCGCTCTCACGTCGATGTTTCTCTCTCTCTCTCTCCCTCTCACTCTATCTGAACAAAATATCGAAAAATGTCCTCGGGTGAGGATAAAAAAATAAATAAATAAATAAAATACACATAAATTCACCAAAACAACAGGACTATATTGAAAGCAAGTTTACTTTCAAATCTAACCTGCCTATTCTAAAGGGAGCTCTTGATAGATTGGTATTGAAGCAGTCAGAACAGAATAAAAGAGTACTCAATAACTATTAACTAACTGGCCCCCATTTTGAATTCTTTCTCACTGCAAAACACTATCCATGCTGCCACTACAGTTACCTTTCAAAATAATAAGAGTATGATCATATCATTACCATAACTAAACCCTTCAATAATGTCCTATTACAAACAGAACTAAGCTATAATGCCTTCTTCAAGTAAATAGGCCCCCTACTCACTATTCCATTTTCATTTCCTGCTGTGCCCCACATCTCCACACATCAAGTGCACTAAAAACCATCTAATAATCTATTCTGCTAAACTCAATCCTTCAAAATTAATCTGTGTCACTTACTCTGTAAGCAATTCCACGCTTAATGACTTAACTATACCCAGGGTACATTGGAATATTTTCACCTATTCTCATATATTTCTGTATCTCTCATACACCTTTGCTGTTATACTTATATTATTGTACTTATTTACATTTATATTGTCATCCATAAGACCAATGATCTGCACATGTTTTTTATTTTGTATCCAATTTAAACATATATCCTAACAAATATATATATACATATTAACTTTGTTTTTAATCCTCATCTGAGGACATTATTGCATTTATCTTCAGATAGAGCAGAAGAGAGAGAGGGAGGAAGAGAGAGAGAGAGAAACATCGATGTGAGAGAGACACATCGACTGGTTGCCACCCACACGACCCCAAATGGGGCTGGGAACAAACTGCAACCGAGGTACATGCCCTTAGTGGGAACCGAACCGAACCCGGGACTTTCCAGTCTGCGGGCCAACGCTCCAACCATTGGGCAAACCAGCCAGGACACGTATTAACTTTTTAATAAATTGCATATATGTACAACTGCATAATATGTTATAAAACAGATAAAAATCAAATAAATATATAAAAATAAACAGGTTCTGCTGTTTTATTCTCAAACCCCAATGAACTGTTGTGGAAGTGGCTTTCTTTGGAGGCCAGTGAATTAAATTACGAATTCCTTGAAGGCAAAAATGATGTCTTGTTCATTTGTGTATGTATACACAATATTTAGAACAATATCTGATGATAAATATAAAAGATAATCAATAAAATTCTTGCTGGTCAAAAGGATAAACTAAGGAACTGAAAAGTTTTTAACTATTATTTCAAAAACAAGTTTTTATAATAGTGACCTTAATTTGGTGATTCAAAATGAAGTGATTAATCATCAATGAAGGGTCCATAATAAATTAAAGAATTAAATATATGTTTTCAATTATAAATATATCCTAATATCAGAAATGTCAAAAATATGACTTTAGCCCTGGCCGGTTTGGCTCAGCGGTTAGAGCATTGGCCTGCGGTCCAGAGAGATCCGGGTTCGGTTCCCACTAAGGGCGCGTACCTCGCTTGCAGTTTGTCCCCAGCCCTGGTTGGTCGTGCAGGTGGCAGCCGCTTGATGTGTTCCTTTTACTTCGATGTTTTTCTCTCTCTCTCTCTTCCTCTCTCTCCCTCCCACTCTATCTGAACAAAAAATGGAAAATGTCCTCGGGTGAGGATAAAAAATATATATATATGATATATATATATGACTTTAAAATCAATGTAATATGAAAAAAGGCACTCATGTATTTATTGAATGAATGATTATAAACCTAGAATTGAAAATCATAATTTAATATTTTTTACAGCAAAATATGTATGAATTTCCTAAACAACAAATACACCAACTTTAAGTTCTAATGAATATGATTTCATTAAAATGGAAAACTTCTGCAGCTCAATGGATACTAATTTGGAAAATACATTGTTTGCCACATTTATATTCAAGAAAGAATAAGAATACAGAAAAAATAACTAATTCCTATATATTAAGAAGAAAAATATTGGCAACAAAATAGAAAAATTATAAGCTCAGATCATTTGAACCAGCAACGAAATCACAAAAGAAAAGTCCAAACAAGTAAAAGCAAACATATAAAATATGCTTAATCTCATTAGTAATTAGGGAGACCATTTTATAGGCATTTTGCAAAAATTGGATATGTAAATAATACTAGCTGTGGTAAACTGGTACAACTACTTCTGAAAGGAATTTAGCAATGCAGCTAATAAAGCTTAAGTTGCCAAATTAATTAGAGTTCCCATATTGCAGGAATGAGGGATTAAAGTTTTAAACACTTTCCAAGAATGAGAACTGTCCTAGAGAAACTTTGACACGTGCAAAAGAAAAAGTATATATAAAACTGTTCAGTGCAACAGTAGTTTAACAGAAAAATATGGAAACTCAAATGTCAATCACAAGAAAAAAAGATAAATTCTATACATTTATACAATATAATAATCAATAGTAATTAAAGTGAATGAACTAAACCTATGCATATTAACACAGATAAATCTCTACAAAATAACATGGAGTTGGGCACCACATGACAGTACAATGACATTTATATAACACTAGAAACCCTGCAAAAGAACACTACATATATTTTATAGACATATATTGGTAATAAAGATATCAAAAACACTCATGGGAATAATAAACACCAAATTTAGGATAAAAGCCGTTGCTTCTGGTAAAAGGGTCAAGATAAGATGACAGAGACATGCACAAGAAACCTCTACTGGATCTGTGTAACGATTTATTTCTTAATAAAAAGAAAGCAGAGCCCTGGTCAGTTTGGCTCAGTGATTAGAGCATCAGCCTGCAGACCAATGAGTCACAGGTTCAATTCCAGTCAAGGGCATGTACCTCGGTTTCAGTTGTCCCCCGCCCTGGGTGGGTAGTGCAGGAGGCAACCAGTTGGTGTCTCTCTCACATCAATGTTTCTCTCTCTTTCTCTCTCCCCCTACCATCCCCTAACCTATCTGATAATAAATGAAAAATATCCTTAGGTGAGGATTAAAAAAAAGAAGTAAAAATGACAAAGTTAAGCTTCAACAAACCTGGTGGTTAGTAAGTAAGTTCTCCTTATATTATTCTCTATATTTTTATGTATGTTGAAATTTTTCTTTTTTTTAAGATATAGAAGGCTATTTCTAAGATAAAGTTCCCAGGCTAAGTGAATCTGCACTGAACACATTTTAAAGCAGAGCTCAAATCAACAGGCAACGGAGACAGCACTCCCCGATCCAAAAAGAAACAAAGCAACACCCACCCTTTGTCTTGTTACAGCCAATGAACCTCATTTCAAGAACTGTGATAAGAGTAAGTCAATTTTGGAAAGCATTACTTTTGAGGAATACAGCAGTCACAAACAGAACAAAACTAAAAGTTGATGGTTTTTTACTCTGAGTTTCCTAAATTTGAAATATAGGTAATTCAACAACAAATAAAATATATACATTGAAAATTTCCAGGTAAAATGTATTTAAGTAATCTGAATTAATATAATTTTGAATCTTAATATTGCAATTTAAAATATACACCCCAAAAAAACTTTTAAAATCTTTTTTTTTCTTTATTGATTTTAGAGAGAGAAGAAGAGAGAAAGAGAGATAGAAACATCGATGAGAGAGAACATCGATTGGCCACCTCCTGCACATCCCCGACAAGGGATTTGGCCCACAACCTGAACATGTGTGTGCCCTGACCGGGAACCAAACAGTGACCTCTTGGTGCATAGGTCTATGGTCAACCACTGAACCACACCAGCTGGGTACTTTTTAAAAACTTTTATTATAAATATTCAAAACTTTAAAACTTAACACTTTTAATTCCAGAATTCTTAACTGCTTTCGGTCTGCTTGGAATACTAAATGATTATGCAATCTGAATAATATATTTCTAGAAAAATGATTATACCTTTTCATTGATATACACTATTGAAAGAATTTCTTCCATTCAATTTAACATAAACAGGCAAACTGATTCTTAGTCTAAAACTGTAGGAAATAGGTAGAAAATACAATTTTTTTTTTTTGTTGTTATCATCACCCGAGGACATTTTTCCATTTTTTGTTCAGATAGCGTGAGAGGGAAAGAGAGGAAGAGAGAGAGAGAGAAACATCGACGTGAAAGGGACACATCGAGTGGCTGCCTCCCACACGACCCAACCAGGGCCCGGGACAAACTGCAACCAAGGTACGTGCCCTTAGCAGGAACCTAACCCGGGTCTCTCTGGACCGCAGGCCGATGCTCTAACCACTGGTTTTGCTCTTTTTTCTCTTTTTTGATATTTATGCACAGTAGGGGATTTTATATTTTGCTTTTAAGTTTCATGTCAGTACTCAACAATAACATATTTGTGCCTCTAAGTTACACATTCAACACTCGTCAATCAGTCTCTCTCTCTCTCTCTTTTTTTTTTAAGTGACAGCAATGAAACTTGGGGACTTTTTAAAAAATCAATTACAGGATAACTAAAACCAAGAAGTTTCCATTTTACAGTATACTATCTTGTTTTATCACAGTTAAACTGTTTTTCTTTAGTCACCGAAGTACCTAAAGAATCTAAAACCAAATGTGCACAATATTAGACAGTAACAAAAAAAAAAAAAGATGTAAAATTATTGAGAAAAAATATCAAATGAGCGCTGGCCAATTTGGCTCATCAGTTACAGCATCAGCCCCCGGACTGGAGAGTCCCAGGTTCGGTTCCCACTAAGGACACATACCTCGGTTGCAGTTTGTCCCCAACCCCAGTTGGGGTCGTGTGGATGGCAGCCACTCAATGTGTCTCTCTCACATCAATATTTCTCTCTCTCTCCCTCCCACTCTATCTGAAGATATATGCAAAAATGTCCTTGGGTGAGAATAAAAAAATATTTTTTTTTTAAATATCAAATGAGTAACATGAAAGTGTCACAATTTTTCTTTCCTACTCTAAGGCAGTAATACTTTTTATTTGTTAAAAACATATATTATCTCAGTGACAATTTGTTTAGAAATTTAAAAAGGTACTTACATTAAATTTAATAATGTCGTAAATCAAATATCTAGGAACAGCTTGTCCATTTACTCTGTCAATAATCATTTCCTTGAAAGAGAAAGAAAGATAAGTTTCTTCACCCTTTATAGCAATTTACAGCACAAAAATCATAAATATACAACTGATATAATTTCAAATGGGCACGTCTACCCAGATCAAATCAATATTGTCGGCACCCCAAAAATTCCCACCGTGTATTCTATATAAAATAAAATTATATGATGACATCTCATTATACTTTTTATATTTGAATTACTATGTTATATTTTATGTTGAATTACTAAGCCACTATTAGGATAAAAAAAGACTATAAATTTTAAATACCAACTATCAGGAACAATTTAAAAATAACTATGTTAAATCATTATTGCTTTATATTTTGTTATGTACCAATTACTTTAATCATATAATCTATAAATATAAATGATGCCATAAATATTAAGGGCACCATAATAGATAATTCCGATATGACCCAGATGGTCTTTCTTGGTTCCACTTCCCTCTATTATGATCAAAGGGAACAGGAAAAAAGAATACATCACATATTGCAGCCATTAAATGAAAAGTACTTCAATTCTGCACTCCCACAGAAAAGAAACAAAGGATACTAAAGAATGGTTACAGGTATATAATGCAGTATTTTATAAAATTTTAATTCTCAATAAGTTTGACCTAAATTACTTTACTTTCCACATATTCTTCCTAGAAAATTAAACAAGTTTTTTATTCTAATTTCATAACAGAAAATGCATATACAACCATCTAAAATTATACAGAACACACTGATTTAGGATAAATATATTTTGTGTTTTAAGAACTTATTACCAATTAATTTCTTTCTCAAATATGTGCTTGTTAAGCTACACACACTTAGGATTATGGTCTTGAACCCAGTTCTTAACATAACTTATATAACTTTCATTATTTTAAGCTGCTTACTGAAATATTTTAATTTAAATACTTGTATCTGAGAATTTTATGAGCCAACAAGGTAACCAATAATAGGTTTCAACTAATTATTCTTTTCAAAACTGGGTGGATGGAAATAAAGTGGCCTTCCAGGTTCAGAGAGCAGACATCACAAAATTTCCTTCCCAAATTACCTGATGAAATGAGCAAAAACATACCTTTCTTTAAACATTAAAAAAAAAAAAAAAAAAAACCCAGCCCTGGCCAGTTTTGCTCAGTGGTTAGAGCGTCGGCCTGTGGTCCAGAAGACCCGGGTTCGGTTCCCGCTAAGGGTATGTAGTTCGGTTGCAGTTTGTCCCCGGCCCTGGTTGGTCGTGCGGGTGGCAGCCACTCGATGTGTCCCTTTCACATCGATGTTTCTCTCTCTCTCTCTCTCTTCCTCTCTCTCCCTCCCACTCTATCTGAATAAAAAATGGAAAAATGTCCTCAGGTGAAGATTAAAAAAAAAAAGCAAAAAATAAAATTTATTATCAGCAAACTGAACAAGTAAAAAGGAATAAACAAATGAGTAAGCTTTAAAAATTGACCATCATGGAAACTACCAAGATTCTGGTAAAAAAAAAAAAAGGCACAGCAGGGTTAATCTCCAAGCACTACTTGTAAAATGACGAATTCTTCATAATTATCACTATTGCACTCAAATATAGAGAGATACAAACTCAGTGGTTATTCTTGGCTTCTTTTTATCCCCTCTTCTGATTTGTAGAGTAACAAAAATAGCACAGCACTATTTTTGCTCCCAGACTCCATGCTGAATTGAAGAAATAATCTGAGCATTACTGGAATAAAATATGGTTCCCAGCTAGCTGAAGAAAACATTCACCAAAAGTTTTTAAAAGAGAGCAGAACCCAGGGATTCTAACAAAGACGCAATACCTAGGCTGAGTTCTTTCCAGTGAGTATCTCAACACAATGTACCCTTCCCCAGAGCTGCCACCACTGCTCTACGCTACAGAAAAGTAGGTAAATTGAAAATACCTAAGCTTAAAACTTAGTTAACCGGAACCCTTGTACACTGTTAGTGGGATTATAAAATACTGCAGCCACTATGGAGAATAGTATGGCAGTCCCCTCAAAAATTTAAAAATAGAACTACTGCTCAGCTGGTGTGGCTCACCGATTGAGCATCAACCCATGCACCAAGAGGTTGCCAGTTTGATTCCCAGTCAAGGCACAAGCCCAGGTTGTGGGCCCAATCCCCAGTAGGGGGCATGCAGGAGGCAGCCAATCGATGTTCTCTCTCATGGATGTTTCTCTCTCTCTCTCACTCTCCCTTCCTTTCTCTCTAAAATCAATAAAGAAAAAATATTAAAGATCTCTCTTTCCTAACTTAAAAAAAAAAAAATAGAACTATCATATGATCCAGCATTCCCACTTCTGGGTATATGTTCAAAAGAACTGAAAACAGGGTCTTGAAGGGATATTTGCACACCCATGTTTACAGCAGCATTATTCCAATAGCTAAGAGGTAGAAGCAACCCAAATGTCAGAGACAGATAAATAGATAAATAAATGGCGCATACACACACATACACACAGTGGGACACTACTGAGCCTTTAAAAGGAAGGAAATTTATCACACACTACAAGATGAATAAACCTTGAGGGCATTAAGCTAGGTGAACTAAGCCAGTCACAAAAAGACAAATACTGTATGATTTCACTTCTACAAGGTATCTAAAGCAGTTACAGTAGTTAAATTCATAAATAGAAAGCACAATGGTGGTTGCCATGGAGTAATAGGAAGCCCTTTCACAGGTATAGAGTTTCAGTTATACATAATAAAAAAGTTCTAGAGATGAGGCCTGGAATTAGATAGTAATAGTCAATCTTTTGAATACACTAAAAACCACTTAATTGTACACCTTAAAAAGGTGAATTTTATAGTATGTTGATTATATTTTAATTTTTTTAAATAAAACTAAATTTTATCCTAAAATCAGTTCTTCAGAGTGAAGAAAAATAATAGAACCCCATATACATAGCATATATTAAATGTCAGCTACATACATATTGATTACACATGTTCTATAAATATAGACACAACAAAATGACTAAAAGGAAGATCAAAATGTTAGAATGTAATCTCTTTTTGATAATTGAATTTTGCTACTTGATAATGTACTGACTTTCTATAAAATTTTTAAGTGAGCCCGGTCGGTGTGGCTCAGTGGTTGAGCATCGACCATGCACCAAGGGGTCGCCAGATCAATTATTGGTCAGGGCATATGCCCAGGTTGTAGGCTACATCCCCAGTGGAGGTAGGCTTGATCCCCAGTGGAGGGCATGCAGGAGGCGACCAAATGATGTTCTCTCTCATTGCTGTTTCTCTCTCTCCCTCTCCCTCTCCCTTCCTCTCTCTCTAAAATCAAATAAAAAAGAAATTATTTAAATAAATTTTTAAGTGAACATAAATATTCCCTTATAAAATTTTTTTTAAATGTTTTAAAATATTTTTATTGATTTTGAGAGAGAGAAGGAAGGAGAAGGTGAGAGAGAAACATCAATCGGCTGCTTCCTGCAGGCCCACCACTAGGGAACAGAGCCCCAAACCCAGGCATGATCTCTGACCAGGAATCAAACCAGGGACCTCCTGGTGCCTGGTTCAACACTCAAGCACTGAGACACACCAGCTGGGCAAATTAACAGTTGAAAAGACATGCCATTTTCCCAATATTCTTGCTATTAACTTTAATGATTAACTACCATATCCTCCTCTTAACCTCAATATAAAATTGAATTTCACTGATTTGTTTCAAGTGAATTAATGCTGTATTTCTAAACTCCTATTTTCCACATTTTGTGGGTCAAAAAACATCACTCAGAGAGCAAAACAAAAGCTTTACTGATCACATCTGACAGTCATACAATTAGGTAGTTTTGAGTTATACTTGGATTTGAAATTTTACAAAAACAATTTGCAAATGAAAATGTAGAAGAAACAGGAAACTACAGAGAGCTTTTTTAATTAACTGGAAAAACAAGTATGGCAACCATAAATCTGGTCCAAGTAAACTGACATCATGAATCACACTGCTATTTTAAAATCTCACAAGTCTATTATGCTGCTCTCAGTTATCCAAGTTCAGGATGAAAATAAACAGTATTGCTAAGTTAAATCTGCATATGGTTAAAAATTAAATCTAATTTTTAAACATTATTTCCTACCTGGAATGCCTTCAGCCCATGTCCAACAAAAATCTCTCTATAGAAATCTTTCCATCTCTAATGACAATTCCTCTATAAAACATCTTTAGTAGCTAACTAACCAGATGCAACGTATTTCTCCTCTAAACCACCACAGGACTTGGTCTAAATACCAATCTTCAGGTTATTGTTTTATCCAGTACCAATCATTCTCCGCCCCTATCCAATGAAGTAAACCATCTCGAGGGTGAGACTTTCTCCTCAACCCTCTAATGCCGGCACTCCTGGCACAACAACTTGAACACGATAGGCACCCAGAAAACATTAGTTCAATTATAAACTATACTAAATGTTTACAAGTGCTGTAACTTCCGATTTTTTTTCTTCCTTTTATTTTATTAATTACAATGCTAAACAACTGTATCTTAAATAAACAAGAATGAAAATGTTCTTGCTGTTCCTGTGAACTAACTAGCAGGGCTGCCGAACCTGCCATGCAGTTTACATACAGCACAACCCCAAGGCTGCCAGTCACATCAGCTACAACGAGAATGGCACAGCCTGGTGATGTGCAATGAGCAATACTTCCATCCTTATGCAGTGGTTCTGTTGACAAAGGTGTTTGTGTGCATGCGCGCAGCACACATATGCACACACACATATACGTTACAAAAATACATATATATATATATATGTCTTTTTTTTTTTATCCTCACCTGAGGATATTTTTGCATTTATCTTGAGATAGAGCAGAAGAGTGAGAGAGAGAAACATCGATGTGAGAGAGACACACTGAGTGGTCGCCACCCACACGACCCATACCAGGGCCGGAGACAAACTGCAACAGTGGTAGGTATATGCCCTTAGCGGGAACTGAACCACGGGCCCACGCTCTAACCGCTGAGACAAACCAGCCAGGGCTGTATGTGTCATTATTATTACAAAATAATATTTTACTACACACCCTGTCACAGGAATGAAGATATACTAGTAACCCCATAGAGTAAACAGCATAGATAACTCTTTGATTTGTGACTTTACAGTTACTCTTTGCTCAGTCTCCATCTAACTAGACTACCTTCTTACCATCTTTCTAATCTTTAATACCTAGTTCACAGTCATCCTGGATGCCTGCCACCTCTCATTATGACCCATCTAATACTTTCTTGATCTCATTTCCACTGTTCTGGTTCACACAACCTCTACCTCTCACTCTCTCTGGTCACATCCTGGAACCTTCCCATCACTCAAAACTATACCTCAGACTAACTCAAACAACCTTTGCTCCAATCACAGTCTTCTACCTTCTGGAGATCAAATGATGCACACTCCAACATTTAGTTGGCAAATAAAAACAAAGAACAAGGGATGGAAGCAACAAGCATTCAGGTCACTTGGAGCGTGATATCCCCTCTTTCAAACTAATATATATATTTATCATGTGATTTTCATTAGAGTAATTCTGTCATTGAGAGTTTAAGTGAACATTCCCAAGCCAATCTCTGCCATCCGAATACCTATCCATTTAAACCAAAAACAAAGAAACAAATTTTATCTTAAGACAGGAAGTATTCTCATATAAATTCCAGAGAATATTAGCCAGACATATTCAATCTGGCACATGAAAAAAGGTTCAATGTTGAAGAAAGTGAAGAAATTTTAACTAATGTAAGTAGTACTCCTGTGGAAAGGAGACCTGAAATGTGGGAAGTTATAAGAAAGATGCTCAGGCACAACTCCTCTCGCACTGGAAGTAGTTCCAGAGAGTTCCTGGCCTCCACTGTCAGTCTTCCATGGACATATAACTCAGGCATAGCCCTTTGGAGTCTTCCCTTGGATTGATATATGGATGTTGGGAGAAAAAGTTATCTTTCTGCTTGGGCTGCAATGCAATTTGCCTCCCAAGTGGAAAGTGTCTTCATGCAAAAGGAGACCAAGCAGACAAGTAAAACAGAGAGAGAAAAAGAGCTTGGCCAATATCATTTGAGCCTACAGATCCAGCCTGAAGCAAACCAACCAGAAATTTAATTATTTGTGCCAATCTAGTTCTTTTATATTTTTCTTTAGTTATTTTAAGTTGTATTTCAGTTACTTGCAATGAAAAGATTCTAAATATAGTCCTGGCCAGTTTGGCTCAACAGTTAGAGCATCAGCCTGCATACGAAAGGGTCCCAGGTTTGAATCCTAGGCAAAGGCATGTGCCTGGGTTTCAGGTTTGATCTCAGGACCCAGTAAGGGTAGTGCGGGAGGCAACCAATCATTATGTCTCTCTCAAATCAATGTGTCGCTCTCAAATCAATGTTTTTCTCTGTCTCTCCCTTCCATTCTGTCTAAAAGATATCAATGAAAAAATATCCTCAGGTGAGGATTAACAACCAGGGCAGTGGTATCATGATTATTCAGAATTTACTGAGACTAGAAGGAGCCAACTCCCCCAAAAAATCTGACACACATTCAGTTTAGGAATCCATGCTGTGCCCTGGCCAGTTTGGCTCAGCGGTTAGAGCTTCAGCCTACAGACCAACAAGTCGTGGGTTCGATTCCGGTCAAGGGAAGGTACCTTGGTTGCGGCTCATTCCCTGGCCCTGGTCCAGGTCATGAGGGAGGCGACCAGTCGATGTGTCCCTTTCATGTCAATGTTTCTCTCTCTCTTCCTCTCTCTCTCTCTCCCTCTCCCACTCTTCCTGAGGATGGTTGAAAAAATATCCTCGGGTGAGAATTAAAAAAAAATAGAGTCCGTGCTATGAGTTTCTTTTACTAGTATAAATGAGTTACATCCCTCAGGAGCAGACATAAGATTGAACATTCTGGCACAGAGAAAAGTCTGGAATGATGTTCATCAAAATGGTAACAGAAGTTACTCCAATGGTAATAGCTCAGATAATTTTTACCAGTTTTTTGTAATGTTTTATATTATTTTAATTTTTATTTATAAAGAATCAATATTTTTAGAATTGGGGAGAAAGAAGCTACTTGCATGAAAGAAAGATAAAACATTTTTAGTATTGCAATTTTATGATTATGAAATACAGATTTTCTGAAATGAGAAAATTCCTATCACCTTTCGAATTTAAATGTAAAAGTACAGTGGGTGCTTTAAAAGGCATAAGTCTCTTAAAATAAGAACTATTAGTCCACATAGCTAAAGAGCCAAGGGAAAACTTACTATGTGGTATCTCACAATTAAAATTTAACTGACAAGTAAAATAACAAAATTAGTCTTTTTCAACAAAAACTTTGTTCAATCGTGAAGAACAAAAAAATTAAGAGTTAACTGTGTTCACTTACTCTCATACCCAAGACAATGATCTACAGAGAATAATGCAAATAAGAGATAAATGGTATTTAACATCCTAATAAAATTTTTCCTATGCTAGTTATACCTCAATTAACAGAAACTTAAAAAAATAGATTTGATTCTAAATTTATTTAGTTTGTAAAAACACAATTTTACTTACAAGAGAAAGAAAACTGGCAGTGTTTAATTTTTTTTTAAAGGATAAAATAGGACTTACCCCATCCAAGAGAGTATTTGATAAATGTATACGGAGATCTTTACGAAATGGGAATTCCAGATTTGAAACATGAAACACTGAATTATCTCTATCAATCATAAAAACTTCATTTGTGCCATCAATCAACATCATATACCTGTAAATAAAACATAAAAGGTAACATTAACAACATAATTCAAAATGGGATCATAAGAAATAATAGTCCAACTGTTTTTCCTTAGACTTAGAATAACTGCATGGAATAATGTTCACTAGAATCCTCTCTATCCCCCATCATGCAGATTAAAGTACAAATTTTCTTTGTTTTAAATGTTCTCTTTAAAAAAAGATGTTTCCTATTAAAAAAAACAAAGAGTATAGAGAAATCAAAGCTTTTAATGGAGACAATGTGATGTTCAAGAGTAACTTTATGACCCATGTTAGGAGAGAATAGTTCTCTAATTTTTATTAGATTTTCAACATCAAAGTTTACAGAACACATAAATGCACAGATATGCAATTAATTACATTTTATATATTACTCTCTCCCCTTTGCAGTACAAAAAAAAAAAGTGATTTGCAAGTGGCCAGACATCAAACTATCCAATGCTCTTTCTACCACACTACAGTTAGCAAAACAGCCCCTCTCCTTGAATTAAAATTTCAGTATAGACAGATATCACTATTTCAGATACAATTCTTATTTATTACTATCAAATTAAAATATTTTTAAACTCAAGCTCATGAGAATTTCTATTAGCCCTTATCTTGTCTTTAAACCAATCAATATATGGGGGAATTTATGTACTTTAGAATACACCATTCTTCAAATGGTCAAGTTATCATCACTAATTCCCACCAGTGGATCATCAAAAACAAAGCTCTACTTCACACCATATATAAAAATAAAGTCCAGATGGGTTCAAGTTCAAGAAACACAGACTAATAGGCAATGCTACCAAATATATAATAATATATAATAAAAAGATTTGGGGTAAAAATGGAGACCATATCCAGGTACCAAACTCTTTAAAAGAATGAGAGAAAATGACAGTAAGAAACTAGTAAGTTAAAAGGCACAGGCTTGAGAGAAACAAAATCATTTTGTTAAGTTGTGTTGACTGTTAAGTGTAAAGAGTAGAAGAATAACAGTCTGGATACACTGCTAAGAATGAAGAATGCTGGCAGATCTGTCCAATCTCCTACCCATAGGGTATGTCAGAATAAAGAAGCAAAAACTGAAAGATGAAGCTCAATCAAGTTAAGGTCAAGGAACAGAAGAAACATTAAATGAAGAGGTGTTAGCTAACACAGTACATGATACCTAATATAATAGAGGATAATCTGTACCCCATAAATGAGTGTTCTAAAGAGTAGACATGTTTAGGTTAGTAAGGAGCTATGAGAGTTGATTACAGTAAAAGAAGTGTGCAACATCAGGTTGAAAAGCAGCAAGGAAGACCAAAGAGCTACATTTTAGTACTGGATTGGAAGCATGCTGTTAGTAATATTTTCAAAATAATTAATCCCAGCCGACCCCTGAGGAGGAGGTGGAGAGCTCAGGCCCTTGATCCGTATTGAAACAGCTGTAGCCCTCATAGATCTGGATTGTGGAGACTCAGATTTCACTAAGAAAACAAAAATAAAATCACCCTCAGTCTGGACTAAGTGTGCATCTGAGAGACTCCTAGACCAACTGCCAGGCCAGTAGGCTGGCAGACAAACAGGAATACTTAGTTCCCAAAGCCCTCCTGCACACGCTTTTCAAAATCAGCAATTCCTGATGGATAAGGAGACTCTAGGCTTCTTGAAAAGAAGTCATCTTTGCCCTGGATTGTGTTTCAAAAGAATTCAAGTCAATATAAAGAAAGGTCAAATAAAAAGCAATTGTGATATCTTCTACAAAAATGGTATTGAAGACACAATCCACCATGTTGTTTAAAGATTTAGACCACCATTTTGCAAAGCTTAATATTTACTTTAAATAGCATGTCTTGGCAAAATAAATTCAGGGAAGACTTTATGTTTCTTTGAGAAAGTGGAGATACATACTAGGAATATTTAAGGTTATGAAAAACCATATAATAAGTCTGTTTATCTTAGCCCATTTTTTACTAAACCTAATATTTAGCAGAGTAAGTGTTCTATATTCACAATTTGAGGAAAGCTGATTTATAATTACAAACTTAAGAATTCAGAAAAAGAAATGGTTATCTCTTCTGATCATATAAGGATGACAGAAATTATATTTCCCTTTTCACTAGGTGATCAGCTCAGAATTAAATATAATGTTCAAATAGAATAACACATTAAATCCCAGGGTGCAGGTACATTTGCTCTTCCTGCTTACTTCCTATTCATATTTTAACATACTTATTTGACATATGTGTAAAAATATCAGACCTTTCTTTTTACTTCAAGTAGCATATCAATTAGAAGAAAATACTATACATATACACTTATACATAAACAGATTTAAAGGCCAAGAAAGAAAAGGTTTTAGAAGATAGAATTCTCTATAAAGGATTGCTCGTGGGAAACATGCTTGCATCTACAGAAATACTAGAGACATTATTTAGTAGCTGATATTTAGGGATTCTTCTGCACATACAAATTTTCAGGGTTTAGAACAAGTTTCTGGAATATGATATTTAATTTGAACTCCAGTCTTTCCAAATCATGTGTCCTTTGTTATATGATACCTATGAAAAGTAAGGAACTATTTCATGTTACAGAAGAAAGGTAAAAAGGTGGAATATTTCCATATCACTCCAAGTCACTAACAACAGCCAGATTCTTAAAAAAGAGGCAACTATCCGATATACTGTCAGATGCTGGCTTAGTATATACCTTCAGTAGATAGAATTATGAGTGTAATCATTCTTATTAATTAGGAAATTACCTCAATTGTAAATTTAATATTCATAATGACTAAGTTGTTTGTATTACACCTATTATCATTGAAAGACAAAAATTAATTCAATATAAGTTTCACTGAATTAGAAAACATGGATTCATTTTTTATACTAAAGTATATACATCAATGAGCTATATAAATTACAGAAAAGCTCAATTTATAAACTGATTTACTTTAAATGTTAGTTTTCCAGCTTTAACTAGAAACAATCTTTCAGGGTAATCACTGAGATGTGAGACAGCTAATCAAGTAAAACCACCAAATATACATTAATGACATTTTAAAAGTACATAATTAAAGAAGAGAAAAATTATTTTAAAATATTGGTGAGTAATAGCATCTAGAGTCCTAATTCACATTCCTAATACTAGCAGTCTGAGATTAAAGCAGAATTTAAACATCTTATCTTTTAAATGTATCACCAATTCAGATGAAACTTCACCATCAATTACATTTCTAGGAATTTATTTTATACTCTATGAATGCAAAGATCATATCAATTTTGTTCTTTCCCACAGACCAATTGCCTTGCACAGTCTATCTGAACAGACAGAAGGCACTCAACAAATACTTGTTAAGCAAAGGATGTATTAAGTATGTTCATCACAGCATTTTATAAGTGAAAAATGAAAACAAATGTCCATCATTCAGCAGATCAGTAAAAGCATAGCAAGCATTTTAAATGATAATATATTAATTAATAAGAGATTCACAGTATATTATAATTTTTTTTCTTTATTGATTTTAGAGAGAGAGGAAGGGAGAGGGAGAGAGGGATAGAAACATTGATGAGAGAGAACATCGACTGGCCACCTCCTGCATGCCCTTCACTGGGGATTTGGCCCACAATCTGGGCATGTGCCCTGACCAGGAATCAAACCAGCAACCTCTTGGTTGCATGAGTTGATGCTCAACCACTGAGCCACACCAGCCAGGCAGATTCACAGTATATTAAGTGAAGAAAAAGCAACTTAAAAACCAGAATGTGTAAAATGATTATGGGGGTAGGAAGATAAAACCTTATAGACAGAAAAGCCTACCAAAATGTTAAAAACTGTCATCTCTATCTAAAATTATCAATACTTGCTTTCCTCATATTTCTTTTGTATTTTCAGAAATTTTATCAATATGAGAAAATTGCTTTTATAAGCCAGGGGAAGAGAGATTAAAGCTACAGAAAAAAAAAAATAGAAATAGAGTCTAATCAGAGTCCAAGAAACATTTCCTTTTGGAATATGACAATGAAAGACAGGACGCTAAATCTTGTTCGTCATACCACAGCACTTCAAAATTAGCCGGTATTTCTCCTCTCCTATTATACAGTGTCCATACTAGAGCTTTTTAGTGGACAATAAAAATAGAAAAATTAATCATTTAAACTGATTCATTTCACTACCATCTCTATCCATTTGTTGTAACTCCTATCAAACTCACTATGGTTTTTCTTTGAAAATGGTTAATCAGTTTTTTAAAAATATTTAATAAAGGTCCAACCAAGTATCAGGCACAGTGCTAGATGTTAGAGTCATAACAGCGAACAGCACAGATCACTGAAAGGTTTTTAGCAAACTAAGAGCATAATCTGACCTGCATTTTTTAAAATTTACTCCCATATAGAGTAAAACCAATCTGTAGACAGAGAAAGTATAAGGCTTCTATAGAACACCATGTGGGACTAAAGTAGCAACAGTAACTTAGAGGCAAGTGGATAAACTGAAGACATTAAGAGGCAGACTGACAGGACAATATGCTTTTTTTTTTTTTTTGCTGCAAAATGCTTTATTGTTTCCATTCGGTCCGATGCATGGGAGAGGGCTCCAGGGTGGTTAAAAGAATGGCTAGTGGTTTCAGGGAGAGAGGCTCAGGCAAAAGCCAGACACCAGGGGAATGCAGAGGGGCCCCTCAAAGGCCTCTGGGCTCCAGTCTCCTAGTCCTGCTTGAGAGTGAACCTTTTGAAGACATAATCACCTAGCCCAGCCTGAGGGCCAGCCAGCCTGCGGAGGTTAGTCAGGTGGTCGCCCATCTTCTTGATGAGTTTCACCTCCTCCTCCAGGAAGTGGTTCTCCAGGAAGTCACATTAGGGTCTGCACGGGTTGAACCCAGGGCACGTGGATCCAAAAGGGCCTCATTCAAGTTCTTCTCCAAGGCCATAGCGGACTTGAGTTTTGCCCCATTCATCATGGGAAGGCTTCACCACATCCTAGAAGAGACCGTGGCCACCGAGCTGGTTTTACAGTTTT